ACGCTTGCCATTAATGTTTCCTTTTTCTCAATAAACAGCTTAAACAATGCCTGGCTTTACAAATAACCATTCTACATATAAACAAAAGTTTAGTTATGGAGTTGATTAATTATGAAATGTGGAAGTGAATGAGTCACAGATTTTGTATGTTGTCCTAATACAATTTTTCATAGTTCCTCAGCTGTGTCCTGCCTCTCTTTTCACCAGTTCATATTTCCCACTTCTTTGAGAAAACCTTCTCTGAAAGTTCTCAATTCACTTATAGCTTCACCATATACTTCCCAATTTTTCATTCTATATTAACATTTCCTCTCTTATAGAGTGCTTCATAATTACTCTGTGATTGTTTAATTTCTCACAGAACAGGAAAAATAAAGGAAACTCTGTCTTTTGTATTTTTAATTAGATTTAAAGAAACATCTGTTCAGTTCCTTTTGACCTCCCAGATGTTTTATATACCAATAAACATTGTAGCTTGTTTTCATTATGCTCCAACCACCACTATCGTTTATATCTTTGCATACATGATACATGTGTGTATATGCACATGTGATGTTTATAAACCACTGACAAATATAACAATGTGCACCAGTACACAAAAAATAACCTTCAAAATTAACTATTTTCTGATATTGGAAAAGATCCTTTAGTGTAAATAAAACATATCTTAATGTTTGAATATATGATCCTATCTCAACTCAAAATGGAACTATTTAGTAAATCAAACAACAAAGTAAGTCCCTGCTTCATTTCTAAATTCATTTGTTTATTCAACATTTACAGTGTGCCTTGGAAACAGTACTTATAATTTATATAAGGGCATAAAGAGTTTGTAAGAACTAGAGTTACTATACACAAAAGAGTATTTCTCAATACAGGTCCCCTATTTCTATCTTTCAAGGGAAAAAAAACTTGTGACATTTATATTTATATATATAAAAATTAAACATCACTAGCACAGAAGCACAGAGTGATATTCATATCGTATATTGATATACAGGTAGCATATACCAACTAACCACCACATGTACACTGTGTTCAGTGATAAATGGTTTTTGTATGTATCTTTTAACTTCAAAATTTTTTCTAAATTTGTATACAGTTTAAGAGCTACATGTATATATATCTGAAAATAAGTACATTTGAGTTTTATTTAGTAGGAAAGTACTATTAAATAAATGATAAATGTTGCCTGGCCAGCGTCATCCCATGGACTGAGAGGTCCTGGTTTGATTTCCGGTCAGGGCACATGCTTAGGTTGCAGGCTCAATCCCTAGTTGGGGACATGCAGGAAGCAGCCAATCAATGTTTCTCTCTCATTGATGTTTCTATCTCTCTCTCCCTTCCTTTCTCTCTCAAAGAAATAAATAAAAACATTTAAAAAATAAATGATACATGTCTACATTGCTAAGATATCAGTAGGGATGAGCAAGCCAGATGGAAAAGTTTTCAGTGACAAGTGAGGAAGAGTTCCCTGAAAATAGGAATGAGGAACAAGAGCTGAAGAGAGAGAATGAATAAATACCCTGATGCAGAACATGTTTCAGGTTGCAAATGCAGAATGCTACTTCTGGTGATGCTTTGAGACTCAAATTGATGACTCAGAACAATCTTCTTCTTTTTTAAAATAGTTGACTGATTTTTAGAGAGAGAGAGGAAGGGAGAAGGCGAGAAAGAGAGAAAGATCGATGCGAAAGCATACACCCTTGATTGGGAATCAACCTGGCAACCTTTTGGTGCACAGGACAACTCCCAACCAACCGAGCCACCCCTGCTAGGGCCCAAGAACAATTTTTATGCTCAAACGTATCACCTGTCAAATCAATCTGTGGCAAAATGCCCAGATTATGACAGTACTTTGACTTAAATCCATGGGTGAAAGATTAGGAGGAATCGTTAAGATTTAATCAGTTGATGATTTCATTCAATTCTTTGACCACTAATTCCTAATAAATAGACTTCTTTTTAAAAGTATTTTTTATTGATTTTTTTTTTTTTTTTTTGAGAAACAGGAAGGGAGAGAGAGATAGAAATATCGATGTGAGAGGGACACATTGATCAGCTGGCTTCCTGCATGCCCCCTATTGGGTATCAAGCCTGAAACCAGGACATGTGCCCTGATGGAGAAGCCAAGTGGGACCTCTCAGTCTATAGGACGATGCTCAATCCACTGAGCCACATTATCTGGGCTACACTTTTTTTTTTTTTTTAAAGGCTGTTACTTAACTCAGTTGGCTTATAGAGACAGGGTAGGAAGTATTAAAGTAAGTTATTTCTCTATCTTACCTATACCTGAAATAAATGTATATACAGTATACTTAAAGGATATACTTCAAAAGGTTAAGAGAGATTATGTCCAGATAGTAAAGTTTAAGAATTATTTTTTCCTTACTCATTTCTATATTTTCCAAGTTTTCTACAGTGAACATGAGTTACTTATACAATTGGAAAAATATTAATAAGATTCATAATTTCATAAAGAAATTAAGAATATGGCTTTTGATTGTATTGCTTGCTCCCCATTTAATCCAAAGGGTATATCTTTGGTTCTATTGGTGTTTCATCCATACACTGTAGTTATAAAATGTGTTTTTGGTCAAATGAATTTAAGAAACACATGAAAAGTACCTAACATGCAGAAGATAATTAGCAGACAATAAGCTATTATTGTAACTATAGAGACAAAAGAATGAATAAAATCTAAAACCTGGCCTTGATGAATTTCCAGTCTAGTAATGGAAACAGATGTATTAATATATCCTATTACAATATAATGCAATACAAGGTATGCTTTAAAGAGGTAAGAACAAAGCAAGCCTATAGCATTTAATTTTTGAAATGGCCACTTTCAAGAACAATCAATGTTAAAAAAAAAAAAAAGGCAAAAGTGTTCATGAAAAATTTGAAAATATAAGTATAGGATGATCTCAATTTTCTCCAATCAACTCAAAGTTCTACTGCAAAATGCAAATGTAGATCCCCTGTATCCAAGCTTATATTTTCAATTTTACAATTTTCAGTGCTTTTTATACTCCTAACAACCCAAAGATAAGGAAGGCAAATGCTCTCTATTTATAGATAAGGAAAATTCAGGCTTATTCCCAAGGCGAATTAGTTGTAGGTCCAATCTCTGACTCAGGTGATAATGCTGGTGATAATACTTTATAGCAGTAATACACAGTACACATTGAGTTTCAAGTTATTCAGGTGTATATACTTTAAACACATATAGCAACCAATGTTTTAATCTCAGAATGGTCATACATCTGGTGCACATAAAATATCAGTATTTGTAGTTAGGGCGATTAGAATATTAACCCAAATGTTAGTGATATGCACAGAGAGACTAGTGATTGCTGTTATCAGGGTCCAAGATAAAAAATAAAAAGCAAGCAAGGTGACTCCTTCCTAGTCTATTATTTTCCAGAAACTTAGTATCTTGAGTTACACGGTGTGTTTTTTAAAAAAATAAATATCTCCTCTATCACTCTGGATTCAACTATATTATATGGTGTACATACTCCACAAAAGCATATTAAGCACTAACACACTGGAATTTACTACAGTGCTTTAGCCCATCATACAAGTAGAGTAAAACGAATTTTGAGTCTGCAAATATTTAACAAGATTATTTATTCTAAAATAAATTTTAGATAATCTATAATGACATTTTAGATAGCTTTTTTTAGAGGATCTAGTTTTGGGCAGGTGACTCCTTAAAAATCTTTGATGCTTTTCAAGAGTGGGAGACTAGCATAATCATTGAAGTTACTCTTTAGTGCTATGTGTAACTGATAAAGAAGAATGCTAATGTATTTCTGTGACATTTAAAACCTTGTCCTTGGACAATTCTTGTTATAAAAGGAGATGGGGTACTATACCAAGTTTTAGACTGTAAATTTAGAAATTTACCATTTCAAGTATTAGTCTGCAAATTCCAAGCAACTTTAACCTGGTTTAGCATTCATCTCAAAAGCAGAGTTAACACTGAAGGAAATAATCAAATTTCACAACATTTTATACATTGTACTTTAGATGAAATACACACTTTCTACTCAATAATTAAAAGGCGAGGATTTGGCCTGCTGTCTGGGAAATTAGAGAGAGGGTGGACTCTCTAGTCTTTTTTTGGCCAGACACCTTTCCAAAATAAACTTCTCTGTTTCCTTTAAACAAAATTGTCCTGTCATAAACTAAATTATCTTTTTGTCTTTTGGAAACCCACATGTCATTGCTGGGGTGCAGGGTGAAGCTGAAAAACAAACAAACAAACAAACAAACAAACACCCAAACAGGTGTAAGGTTTGCAGACTTAGGAACCAGGACGTTCCAGTTTCTGTCCCAGGGCAGCCCAAGCTCTAATTGTGACCTTGGAAAGTGTCCCCTCTCAGAGACTCGGTTTCTCTCTCCTATTAATGACTCTGCTCAGCGTGGGCGTGGGGGTGGGGCTGGCCCCCAAGAACTGCAGGCACCTAGGCTGCAGCAGGCACCTTGGCTGCAGCACGCTCCAGTTTCGAGGAACTGCGGCCCCGGCCGGATTTCCCCACCGGATTTCCCCACGAGCTCAATCACTATCTCACTGGGGGCAGTCAGGTCGCAGTTCCTGGTTCCCCCCGTTCCCCCGGGTCCCCGGCCCGGTACCCACGGCTCCCCGGCGCTCCCCCTGGTGCCTCGCTGCGCGATCCTTCTTCGGTCCGCAGAGAAACGCTCCATCCGCCCTGCCTTCTCCCCCCGTCCCTCCTGCTCCGAGAATCCCCGACACCGCTGCACCCAAGGGATCCTCACTTGGGCTTTGTCTCGAGACCCCTTTCCTTCCCACAGGAGACCTCCCCCTCACGTCGTCTTCACCTCCGGGCGACCCCTCTTCACACATCCCCTTCTTCCGCGAACCCTCACGGGTCTCCAGCCGCCAGCCTTCTGCGGAGCTCAAAGGGACCGCGGGAAAACCCCCAAGCCCTCCCCCTCCGCCCTCGAGCTCCGAGCTCCGGGGACCCTCTCACCTCCGCGGTGAGAGATGTGTTTACTGAGGAATCGCTGCTTCTTTCTCTGATGCAGCAAGGTCGGGTATTTGAGCAACAAGAAAGAGGTCACCAGGTACCCTCCCAGGGTGGAGAGAAGGTAAAAAGCCGTAGCTGACGACATCTCAGCCACCGTGTGGGAAGCTCCCGGCCGCCGGGCCTCTGAACTCCGCTGCGGAGGTCGCGACGGCTGCGGCGCAGACGGCGGCTCCACTTCAGCTCGCCCCCCGCCGGTGCCCGCGGCGCAGCGCACTTGTCCGACCCGCCCACCGCGCAGGCGCAGCCAGACCGAGGGCCGGAGCAACAAAGGGACTCCCGCACGCAGGCGCGCTCCGGCTGCCGGGCAGGAGCCTGTCGAGGACCTGTAATCGGCTTTTGTCACCTGGCTTTGTGGCCCGACCCGCGGCGCTTGGAAGGAGCTCCAAGATGAGGCGAAAGCGTGGGAACCTGCTAGTGCCTTCGCTGTCTCTCAGGCGGAAAACATTATTCAAGGACAGTCTTCAGGAAGGCCTGACAAAATTAGAAAACCCACATCAAAAAGGAAAGATTCCAGCTCGAGGAAATGCAAAGAACTGTTTACCTATGGAGGAGTTCAAGTTTGCTGAAACAAATAATAAACCCATCCATTTGTCTAGCCAAGAGAACTTTCCTTATAGTAACACATAACCATAAAAGGTACCAATGTATCACTCAAATATTTGAGGAACGGACTCTTGTGAAAATGCGATCCCCATACTTTGTACATGATAGGGAGTCAAGAACTATTTGTTGATTTCCAAGTCCATTTAAAATAAGGAAACATTGGCAAAGCTATAGGTTATCACTTAAAAGTCTTAGGAAGATAGGAAACTGAATTCCATAAACCCAACGAGTCCGCTTTCACCCCACACATTCCAAACTACTTGAAGAGCTATAGTTTAAATGTAAAAGAATTAACCTGGGGCAGGAAATTTGGCAAGAGCAAGTCTCCCGCAGGAGAATACACAATGATTATTTAAAATCTTGTGGTTCTTGTTTCTGGCCTTAAGCAAATTACTCTCTTCTGTTTCTTTATCTGTGTGGACCAAAAGGGGCCACATGTTAACCTGACAAGCTCAGGGGAGGCCTGCATGGCAGCATTAGGAACCCAGACCTAAAATAACCTCAAAAGATGGTATAAAATTAAAACTATTTAACTAAAAGCAGTTTATGGTGGGTGGTCATGTCCTAGGCCAGTATCTTTCCTGACAAAGGTCAACCTTTACCTTAACTGAGCCTGTCTATTGTTTTTTGTGTGTTTGTTTTTTCATCTCTGTTAATATAGTTTTGAAATGTCAAAGTCATTTTCCCTTTTTAGGAGCCCCCTGAACGCACAGGCACCACTCTGCAGAGATCACAAATCTCTTTATTGTTACTGTGTTAATTGTTGACTGCCCACTATCCTGTACCCACCTATATAAAAGAAGTTTGTGTCTATCATCTTACTTTTCATCCAGTCCCAGTGGTTTCCCCACTTTGCTTTCCCCCACCTCCCTAATCTATCACCAGTGGATTTCATGTAACCCACTTACACCTCTTTGCTTTGGTAATACCCGAGGATATTTTTCCATTTCTGTTCAGATGGAGTGGGAGGGAGGGAGGGAGGGAGAGAGAAACATCAATGTGAGAGGGACACATTGACTGGTTGCCTCCCATACAACCCCTACCAGGGCCAGGGATGAACTGGAAGCGAGGTATGTGCCCTTGACCAGAAGCAAACCCACAACTCATTGGCCACAGATGGATGCTCTAACCGCTGAGCCAATTGATTGTAATAAGGTGCAAAACTGCCATTCTCTGGAGCATTATCTCAATACGTTTAAGTTTTGCTTCCTGGCAATTGTCAACAGTTTTGGCTCAAATACACTCACAAAAATTCTTCACAGGTTTGAATGTTTCTTATGTTGACATCTGTAAAATGAGAATTTTTTTTTTTTTTACTAAATAAAAACCTCCAACTCTCACATTCTATTAATGATCTCGGTTCCCCCAAATTCCAGCTTCCTTTAAAAGGAGTAACTAGGCCCCTGGCCAGCATGGCTCATGGTTAGAGCCTCGGCCCAAGCACCAGAGGGTCGAGGGTTTGATTCCCGATCATGGGTGAGAACCTGGGTTGCAGGTTTGATCCCTGGCATGTGCAGGAGGCAACCAATCAGTGTCTCTCACATCCATGTTTCTCTCTCTCTCCCCTCCCTTCCCTTCCAGTCTCTTTTAAAAAAATCAATGGAAAAAAATATCCTCAGGTAGGATTAACATAACAACAACAAAAAAGGAGTAGAGAAAACACACCCAGACTTCCAGTCAAGATGGCAGCGTAAGTAAACGCGGTATCATGTCCTCCCACAACCACATCAAAGTTACAACTACAGAACAACCATCACTCACTGCCTGAAATTGAGCTGAACAGAAGTCCTACAACTACAGAATTAAAGCAGCTGCCACACTGAGACTGGTAGGAGGGGTGGAGGCGTGGACAGCCTGGTCCCACACCCACGTGTGGCAGATAAAAATCAGGAGGACACCTCGGCTGGGCAGGTCCTCCCTGAGGAGCAAGGGGTCCCCCATCAAACACCAGGCCCCAGCTCAGAGTTCCAGTGCCAGGAAGAAAAGTCCCCATAACTTCTGACTGGAAAAACCAGCAGGAACTGAGGCTGTGGGAGCCCCAGGCAGTTCCTCTTAAAGGGCCCGTGCACGGACTTACTTGGACTTGCTCCTTCCAGGCTCCAGTGTTGGGGAGGCAGCTCAAAAGGCACCAGAGACATACGGGGAAGAACTGAGTTGTTTGGCATTGGGACCAGGGCTGGAGAGGCAGCTTTCTCCTGGACAGTCGTGCTGTCAGAGGCCTTTGTTCCTTTGGTGAGCCCTTCCCTGGGGCGGCAGACAGTCGCCATATCTGGGACTCCAGCAACCTGGCTCACACTGGTAGCCCCACCCTGGTGACTCCCTGAGGCCCCGCCCCACCCAACTTTCAGGCCCACCTAAGCTGTTGCCAGTTGCTTTACTATAGGATTGGCCTGTCTTGGATCCTGCTTCAGATATTCCTAAATTCTCTCAAACAAGCAGCATCTGGTCTCAGCGAGCCCTATACCTCTTGTTAAGTGGCCCCAGGCCTCGCATTAGAAGCAGCCAGCTTCGGTTCACAACTTGGCTTTGCCTGGGCACCTCCAAGCCCAGCACATGAAGTAGCCATTGGCAGATCACAGGCAGTGGCTGACCTGGCCCCAGAGCCAGCACACCCAGTGGACAGCTTCAGACCACGTCGAAGCGCCACCACCCAACCACCTCCACAAGTGACACACTCAATGAGTGAAGTCAGTGGGTACCAGAGCCCTGCTGAAGTAAATCTTGCTCTGTGTGCTTGGCCCCTACACAGCTGATCTTCCAAGGTAGTCATAGGCCAGTGGTCAGTGGGCACAGCCATTCTTACAGCTGATCAGCCTGAGTAAAATCCTCTCACTGATGGGCCAACAGCAATCAAGACTCAATTACAACAGAAGGGTGTAAAGTCCACACGAGGGGTGCACCTCAAGGGCCTAGCTGGGAGACCAGGAGGCCGTGTCACTGGACCCTACAGGACACCTACTACAATAGGCCACCCTAGGAAGCCCAGGAGACATAGCAACTCTACCTAATACACAGAAACAAACACAGGGAGGCAGTCAAAATGAGGAGACAAAGAAACATGTCCCAAATGAAAGAACAGAACAAAACTCCAGAAAAAGAACTAAATGAAATGGAGATAAGCAATTTAACAGATGCAGAGTTCAAAACACTGTTTATAAGGATGCTCAATGAACTTAGTGAGAACTTCAATGAACTTAGTGAGGGCCTCAAGAGCATAAAAAAGGACTAGTCAGAAATGAAGGAGGCACTAACTGAAATAAAGAATAATTTACACAGATTCAATAGTAGAGTAGGTAAAGCCAAGAAGCAAACCATCGATTTGGAATATAAGGAAGCAAAAGACACCCAATCAGAACAGCAAAAAGAAAAAAGAATTAAAAAAAAAAAAAATGAGGCTAGTGTAAGTAGCCTCTGGGACAACTTCAAGTGTACCAAATTTCGCATCATAGGGTTCCCAGAAGGAGAAGACAGAGATCAAGAAATCGAAAACCTATTTGAAACAATAATGACAGAAAACTTCCCTAACTTGGTGAAGGAAACAGACATACAAGTCCAGGAAGCATAGAGAGTTCTGAACAAGATGAACCCCAAGAGGCCCACACCAAACACATCATAATCAAAATGCAAAAGGTTCAAGACAGAGAGAGGATCTTAAAAGCAGCAAGAGAAAACCAGTTAATTTTCTAAATATTGTCAGCCAGTTTCTCAAAAGAAACTTTGCAGGCCAGAAAGCAGTGGCAGGAAATATTCAAAGTGAAGAAAAGCAAGGACTTACACCCAAGATTACTCTATCCTGCAAAAACAATCATTTAGAATCAATGGACATATAAAAGAGTTTCCCAGACAAGAAAAAGCTAAAGGAGTTCATCACCACCAAACCAGTATTATACAAAATGTTTAAGGGTCTTCTTGAAGAAGAAGAAGAAGAAGAAGATAAAATATTTGAACAATAAAATGGCAATAAATACATATCTATCATTGAATCTACAGACAAAATGAATAAGCAGAACAGAAACAGACTACATAGATACAGAGAGCTTTTTGTTGGTTGCCACATGGGAGGAAGGTAGGGGTGATAGGTGAAAAAGGTGAAGGGATTAAGAAGTACAGGTTGTTTGTTAGACTGACAAAACTCAGAGGGAGGGGGGGGGATGCAGAAAGATATAAACCAAAGAATTTATATGCATATATACATAACCAATGGACACAGAAATAGTGTGGGGAAAACAGGGTGGGGTGGGAGTGGGGAGGATGGGTCAATGGGGAAAAAGGGAAGGGGCATCTGTAATACTTTAAACAATAAAGACTACAAAAATAAAGAGAGCGACCTAAGAATATCACAATCTGACAGAGACTCATTTTCTTTTTTAATCCTCACCCCAGGATACTTTCACATTTATCTTCAGACAGAGTAGTAGGGAGGGAGAGAGAGAGAGAGAGAAACATTGATGTGAGAGAGACACATCGATTGGTTGCCACCTGCCTGACACCAACCAGGGCCAGGGACAAACTGCAACTGAGGTATGTGCCCTTGGCCGGAATCGAACCTGGGACTCCCTGGTCCACAGGCCAAC